CCCTGCCAGCCTCACTGGCAGGGCTGCAGGTGGGGACGTCGGGGGTGTTTGGCGGCATTAGACGCTTGGGGGTCCCTTCTTTGTCTTTAGCACTGTTCTGTAGGGAGGGAGTCCTGGGAGAGTCAGTGATCTGGCCCTGGTTATGGCCAGTACAGGGCGTCCTGGGCAGACTCGGCTCTAAAGTGCCTGCTCCAGGCCTCTTCCCAGGTGTTGACGGAGAGTTGAGGCCTTGAATGTCCTGCAGCATCTCAGCTGCCTGTTTGGCCAAAGAGCTGGTCTTTGACTGGGCTTTTGAGCCCTTGGATTGGGGAGATGTGAGTTGCGAGGTAGCTGATGGGCTAAAGTCTCTGGGTGACGGGGATGTAGGCGTAGACTGCTGTTGCTGCTCTTGCGCACCGACCTTCATTTCATTCTCCTTGTTTGCCGTTACGTTGGGCATTTCCTGACTTTTCTTTTCTGTGCGCCCTTCACGTGGTTTGGTAGGAGTCTTCTCCACAGCGTCTCTCCTGCTGCTCTCTCCTTTATCATTTCTCGTACCTTTTTTAGCTGAGTCAGAAGTCGTCTTGGCTGAGGTGTGAAGATCAGACGTTTTTGGTCTACCTTCATTATTACCAAGACTATGTTTCCTGTCGATCGTTTTGGATCCTTTTTCTTTTTCTGACTTTTTTGCATCATCTGACTTTGGGTAGTCAGCGTCACTGTTTGTGGTACTTTGAGGCTCTTGGTTGTAGATGCTATGATGTTGTTTGCGAGGCTTCTTTTTGATGGTGTCTTTTTGCTGGGGCTGTGAAGGCGTGGGCTTCTCCACCTCCTTCACAAACACCCCTGTAGGCTGGGGATTTTCGGGGCATCTGGTGATTTCTATTCTCCTCTTGGGCTTGTTGCCTGCTAATATTGCAGGCTTCGTTCGAGAACCTGGAACACTTTTACCTTTCTGTGGCTGCTGGTCAGACGGTGATGGCGATGCAGTAGTAGCTGAGGCAGGGGCGGTTTTGTTTTGCGGTGGTGCCGTGTTAGCAGTTTGTGGTTGACCTTCTGCAGAAGGATCGAAACACAGAATTCTTCTATGATTCAAACTTTTTGATGTGTCCTGCTCACAAGTCCTTTCAGCCGATGTGGGTGGAGTGACTTTTCCAGCCAAAGCTTCCTCAGTGCCTGCTGCTCAGAAATAAAGACACTGGCATTAAACCACACATCCCAGAAAATACTTGTTTAAACAAATTGAAAGGATAATAATTCGAGACCAACCAGAAGCTGTAGACTGTTTTGGTGCCACTGTGGATGGTGTGATAGTTTCAGTCTGCTGTAAAGACACGGGGTTTGGTATGGCAACAAGCTGTGTGGATCAGAACAAATTCAGATGAGTCAGAAGACATTTGAAACATTTTCACTAAGGAAGAACCAGTGAAGACAGGAATTATTATTCAGACTCGATGAAAATAATTTAGATCTAGATTTTTTGTAAAAAAAAAAAACAGAAATTTCAGGAAAATAAAATTAAAAAATAATAATGTCAAATTCTATATTATTCTATATAATTTAAAAATCTCTTACCTGATTGGGCATCATCTGGACATTTCCTACAGTACTCTGACCCATGACTGACACTGGAAGCATTACAGGCTTCACAGGTGACGGTAAGATGAGCGTTGATGCTACACAAAAACAACACAAACTTGTTTGAATCAAAAACTTCAGTTGGCAACTTTGTTCTCCTAACAACTGATGATGAAATGACTTCAACAATAAATAAATGGGGCGGGAAGGGTTAACCTCAGCACCAAATCATACACAACCATTAAAATTAGATGCAGATACAGTACATAGATATTCAGCAGATAGATATACAGTCAAGCTGGGAAGTTAAAACATCACAATTGTTCTATTTTAAATGAGCTGCCTCTCACCGTTGGAAAAGCTCGGACACCCACTCTGTGTGGTTCCTCCAAACTGGTTGATGGGTAAAGACTGTCCTTGTGGGACTCCAGCTGGCAGCAGAACCTGCCTGGTTTGTACATCTGAGTCAGTCACGAGGATATAGCTGGGGGCGGCTCCCACTCCCTGAAGTGTGGGAGTGGGGGTTGAGTTCATGGGCAGCTGGAGTATGAAGCTCTGCTGAGTCTGTGATGTTCCCGTTAGCGGAGATGCTATCAATGCCCCAGTCTTACCTGTGAGAGGACTGGCAAATATCTCAGAGTTCTGTAAACAACTCACTGCCTGTGCCACTTCGTCCATGTTGGACTTGGGGGTGTTGGGGCAAGAGACGGGGCCGGGGGATTTGGCTGGAGAGGAAAGGTAGATGGTGGGGATCTTGTCCCCTGAAATGCTGGAAATGGCTTGATTCAAGACCGTGTCAGTGGAACTGTTTTCTTGATTATCGCTAATGATGATCTTCAAAGAAACAATGTTACCGGAATCTGTTGTAGCCTTACATGGGATACTGGGGATGTGAGGCGTCATATCCACTGGTGCAGAAGAGGGCGCAGGTGAGTTGTGTGCAGCAGGTGAACAAGACTGGGCTGATAAGGACTCAGTACCAGTCTGCCCAGAGTCACCCTGACCACAGGTAACTGCTGCATCTGCCAGATTAGTGTTGTCCACAGGCGGAGCAGATGGAGAGGCAGTTGTAGAAGGTTCTTCTGTAGAATCCTGTGCTTGTTGAACCTCTGGCCTTCCCTCCACAGTAGAACCCGTCACCGCTGTGGAGGATGTGCAGTCTTCTGTGGCGGGAGCAGAAGTGTCCATTTCGTCTGTGGGAGGGGGAGGCGTGTTCAACGGTTGGTCAATGTCCATTGGTGTTAGGATGGCACTGCTATTTAGGGACGTAGGCCTTCGTTTTTTGGACGAGTTCCCCGTGGCAGATGAGACGCCTGGAGTCACCAAGAGTCGGGGCGAGCAGCTTTCTACCCTGGACCCTCTGCTGCTCGATGAAAGAAACGTTTTCTTTAACAAAGTGGTGGCAGCGTTCTTCCTTACAACCCTACAATCATGTCCAACTTTTGTTTTCGCTGCGGTCGCTGTGGCGTCCCGAACAGAAGAATCTGTTGGTGTCATGGCTGAGAACAAAGAAAAAAAACAAAAAAAAAAACAGAAGAAATTCTTAAAATACTTTTTTTTTAAATTCCTTAATCCCTGGTTTGGACCTTCTTCATTTGTAAGTGATAACAGATTTGGTTACAGGACCAATCAGTGGACTGTACCTTGGTCATTACTTTTAAGAAGCTCAACAGTGGATGAAGGACCTGCTGCATCACTCTCTTCTGGACTGCTGCTGATATCACCATCCTCTGGTCCTCCATCAGTAACTCTGGATTTATCTAAGATTACAAACAAAATTACAAAGTTTTCAATGAACAAATTCATACACAAACATAGAGACACAAGATAAAGTCAAAGACTGTGGAAAAAAAATATATAGGTCACTCACTGCAATCAAAGAGGTCAAAGAGAGCCTGGAACGCTGGGTCGGACTCAGTCTGCTCCAAAATGTCATGAATGGCATCGTCACTCATATGTATCTCCCCCTGTGTCAGAGGACATGCATTATGAGATAAAACACCAAATACAAAAATCATATGCAGTTGTATTTCTTGGCACCTGTAGCCCCAGGATTTCATCTATGGACTGGTCTGGTTCCACAGTAGCAGAAGGAGTTTTTGATGGGATGGGCACTGGTTCACTGAGGTCATAGATGGAACAGAGAAAAATCGTATGTTGTTAACATAATCAACTACATGTTTCCTGTCAACACAAGCACTATTTTAAATGTTACGCAGAATTCCAAAGCAGCTCCTACTTGGCAAGGATTTTGTTTATGTTTTCAGCCAGTTTTTCCTGTAACGTCCTGTCACCCAGTATCTTGTCTCGGGCATTTTGTATCACAAGTTGCTGTGGAGAGTTAAGTACTTTGTTAATTAGCACAATGTATAATGACATTGTATTAACGAATACAATGTAAAAAACTGAAGACTTGCAAGTCAACACATTTACAAATAATACAATTCAAATTCAACAACAGCTGTTTCCAGGGTGAACTTTTTTTTACTGAGGTCAGTGTGATGATCTTAAAACAACAATAGCTCTACGACACAGATTACTACTTACAGGGAAATTCCCATCAATGACCTCTTCAGGTTGTGGTTGTTCTGTGTTGGTGCTGTTAGCTGTTGGTCCTGTTCTGCCAGGACAAACAGACCCACCAACAGCAGCACTTCTTTTCCTGGGTGTGTCCCTAAAAGCAACCAGAAAAAAAAAGAAATTAGAATTTGAAGTTTCACCAAACCTTCAACACAAGATAAATAATCCTACCATTTTCTTCGACCCGGAGACATTGGACCTGGATTTAGCCGTTGCTCTGACACCACAATATGAACAGATGAATCTTCTGTAATGAACACAATGTTACACTCAAAAACTCAAACACACATTACCAGATGAGGGCGCTCTGAGATCTGTTTTACTCACTTGGTGTATTTAGTAATCGACCACCATCTTGGATCTGCAGCTGTGTTTCACTGCCAGAGTTTAGCCTGGTGAGTGGAGCAGTGTAGCTCACTGGTGTGGAGTGGCTGATCAGGCTGCTGGACACATGGGCAGGGCTGATGATGGAGCTCGTTTCAGAGACAGTGGAGCAGACGCCGCCGCCCGTTGACGCTACAGTCAGAGCCCGCTGTCTGGCTATGTTTGCTAACCCAACTCTGGTACGTGCTACAATGGACAAAGTGTGTTAAATTGGTTAACATTTATATCCAAATTGCCTTCTGTTTAAGCATAGTGACATCAACAGACATTCAGGACATGAAGGTCATTGATTAAAAAACATAAAGTCTAAAACATTGAAGCCCGTCTCTGTTTCTGTTCAGAAATTATTTTTGGTGAAACAATATTTACTTACTTCTCTGAAATGCTGATATTGCCGGTGAATTCTGCATCGATCTAAGAAAAGAACACTGAAGGTTACTTCAAACCAGGTGATGAAGTCTCCACTGAATAATCATTTAAAAGACTGAACACATTTTTAGCCTCAGATGATTGAGTTTTGTCTTTACTTGATTTGATTGAGTGTGAAGTCCAGCTTTTTCCACAGTGAATTCATCATCACAGGTATTTCATATTGAGACTCTGATTTAAAAAAAACAAAGTAAAACAATCACTGATTTGCATCAATGACATACAGTAAATTTTAGATTCAATAAATGCACTCCCACCTCTTGTTTTTGCAGCCACATACTCATTTAAGATGGTCGTCAGGCCTTTTCCAAAGAGGGACTGTGTGAAGACAAACAATTATTATATGCAAAGCAAAGTGGGAAACATGTTGACACATACACATACGTGGAACTGTGACATAAAAAAAAAGGCGGGGAACTCAAGGACCAAGCAGGAATAGTTCCATCTCCTGTGGTGTGATCTGCATATTCCTTTAGGTTAGGACTCTCTTGAATAAAAGTCTGGCTTGTTGCAGAGAGACCCTCTTCTTGGAGATACCCTGTAAAAAGACAGATACCAGGAAGTTACAAAAGACAGACAGATCCGTCCAACTTGAAGTCTTAACTCTCATTTTAATGGCCAGACTCCTAAAGAACAACTATCTTTCTGATACTGTTTTCAGTAGTGACCTCCATGTCAATCATACAGATAACATTGATTTATATGAGATATTCTTTATTAGTAACAAGAGCCCGTAATGGTTGACATTCATTGTCCTGGGGTTGTTAGAAATTCCAGCGAAGACAAGCATTAAGTATAATAAATAAATAACGTAATGTCGGATTAATATCTGTGCTCTGTAAAAACGATATCCCTGTAGTGAGTAACAGCTATTATGAACCGTAGACTTCAACTAACAATGCAGTCACTACACAAAAACACAAATCATTTATCAGTCCATTGTTTACATCCAATTTGCGAACCCACAAACCTACACTACTAACACAGAAACCTAAAGCTTCCATATATTCTGACAGATTGTACAGTTCTTGCTGTTCAGCACTAAAGCTAACGCATATTTATGTCCCAGAATACGACACACAAGACGACTGCCTTTTTGACAAGACTCACCCAAAACAAGCCGAGCAACATCCGACGGCAGCAGCATGGCTGGAACTGTGCGGATTACAAGTTTAGTAGTCGTTGGTTAACTACATATTCACCACTAAGTGATTCTTTTTAATTCTAATGGGGAAATATAATTAGAACGTTCGTGATATTGTTTCGAAGAACGTCCTGACAGACTTCCTATGCTACTTAAAAGGCGGGGAACTCAAGGACTTATATGCCGGAAGTATAAGCGTACGTGTCGCTTGGAGATGTGGGAAATGTAGTGAAAAGTTTTTTCTCTCTATGATTTCAGCTATTGTAGACTGACATACGGTAAATATATATATATATTGTATTGATATCATTATTTTCAGAATTGAGTAGCTTTAATATTTTAGTAAACAGTGGAACAGTAGAGCTCACATTAGTGCTGCTCTATAAGCCGCCGGACTCAGTGGAATCTGGTCATGACCTGGATGTGATGCAACGTCCTTACGCTACTCCAGGGGCGGGAGTTTTCTGTCTGTCTGCGCCTGCGTACAAACAAACGAATGGAAGCAATGTGTGATGGAAATAGAAAGTTAAGAGAGGATGTCCGTCAGAAACAACAACAACGACAACTACGAAAACAGCACTGACACTAACGAGCAGCTTCTAAAAAAGAGATTTTTCGCTAACGATCGCAGCTGCAGGTCACTGCTGTCTGCGCCTGCGTCTGTCTGAAGCAGGTCAGTAAACTACACATCATGGTCAAAGTAGGAAAGTGGTAACGTGGTGGTGCTAAAGAAACTCCTTCACAAGGCCAAGTTGATTGTTACCTATTACAGACCTTTCTAGTCTGTCTGGTTATTCTGGTTAAAAGGTCAGCCCGTCATAAATAGATGCATCATGACCAAATACAGCACTAGAACAATTATGTTAGGTGCTTGTTCTAATACTCTATTTTCAGACCATTCATTTGTATGCACCTGCAGTATTCCAACACATAGATTGATGAAATCTTAAATCCTTGTCCAGTGCACGGAACCATGAGTCTGGCTCTCCATGATCTCCTTGTCTGCTGCAGAGGGCTGGAAAATGATAAAGCAACAGAGAGAAAGGTAATCGCACATACTTGGGAAAAATTCATAAAGTTGTGTTTTCAGCAGCTTGTACTACTAGTAAACCAACACTGTGAATATTATTTTAACCTGACACACTTTTCACATCTCCAGCTTGTACTACTAGTACAATTTTTTAACCTGACACACTTTTCACATCTCCAGAAAGAAGCTGATCGCTTCAGAAGGCTCCTTCGAGCTCCAGAAGTTGTGCAGGAGTTGGATCGTTCCTCGGGACCTAATTCTAAATCTTCCAAGCAGCTCACATGGGATGCTGTGTTCAGGTTCCTTTTCATGATAAATATTTATTTTTCAGTTCAAATCTGGTTCACTAGCAAGTGTTCTGCCACCACTTTGTGCACAAAATCTGTTTTGGTTAGAATGAAAATGATGATTTTCTTCTCATTAGATTTCTGCAGCGTTATGTGCAGAAGGAGACAGAAAGCATGCAGTCTAGCAAAGCGGTCGCAGCAACGTCGCTGGCCACACGCAAGAAGAAGATGGCCCAAATGTGCAGTTTAATCAAATACTTCATTCGCTATGCAAACAAACGTAAGATCATTTCCTGTGTGCAACGGTCTACAACTCCCTCCTCTTAGCTCTGTCAACTCAAAACCTGAGCTGTAAGTAATAAACAAAGTGAGCAGGCTGTATTTGTTCTGTTCTATTTGGCTCTGACTGCAGGTGGCCCCCGGCTGAAGTGCAGTGAGCTGCTGAGGCACGTCATGGAAGTGCTGCGGGGCTCGTACAGCTGCTCGGCCTACGGAGAGTATTACAGCAGCCTCCTAGTAAAGGACATCCTCTCAGTTCGCAAGTACTGGTGTGACATCACTCCACAGCAGTGGCACGGTCAGTTTCTCTGTAACCCTTTAGATGTAATCTGTCTGTAGTCATAGTCATCTTTTATTATTGTCTTTTAAACAATATTTTTCCTAGTCATAGCCAACGATCAACTAATAAATGTGTATTTTTGTGCTCTGAAGGCCTTTTGGACTTGTACTGTGACATGTTCAACTCCTCGTCCAAATCCATCAACTGTGTTTTGCTGAGCCAAGTCATCCACATGGTGGTGCAGGGCTGTTGCACACAGACAGATGGATTTAACAACACTCTGTTCAGCTTCTTCACCAAAGCACTTTTAAATGCCAGGTGAAGCCTTTACATCTGCTGACTGCCCTCAGCTTAACTCAAACTAGATCAGGGGTCGCCAACCTTTTTAGCAGAGAGAGCCAAAAAAGTCACATATTTTAAAATGTATTATCGTGAGAGCCATACAATTTTTAAACAAGACCAATAATTTGAGAGTATAATTAGTCTCTGATTTTTTTTACTCCCTATTGCATGGTTTTAATGCGATTAGCTGCAGCCTAAAAAAAATTGTAAGGATTAAAATGTCGGAGTTATAAATATATGGTTCCACTTATATATAAGTGCCATATAAAACGCACTACGTAAGAAAAATATTAATTTATCGTAGGTCATTAAATGCAACACCCCTGTGGATTAGGGTCGTGAACCCCGGGGAGCAACGGTCAGACTCTGCTGTTCTTATGCTAGGTACAATTACTAATAAGTCCGTCATTAATTTATTTTAATATTTTAATTTTATAATTAACTGTACTTTTATGTATTTTATATTTTAAGCGCTTGATGTGTGTGTGTTGATACAAAATGGACGGACTTTTTTTTCACTTTTTATGCCAGAAAAGATGTCGTACCAAGCTGATGATTTTACCGCCATTTTTTAACACAACGGGGCGCCACAAATGCACGAGAATGTTATTTTCTATTAAAAATATTTTAACACCATGAATGTGGAGGATCAGCGAAATTATTTATGACTTATTGAGACTTATCTGGCTCGCGACCCCTAAACTAGATGAATACGTATCATTAGTTTGGCAAAAAGAGTTTTATTTATTACGATAATATTACGTGCTAATAAGCTAATCAAAACTATTCTCTTCCCTCAGGCAGGAGAAGCACTTGAGTGTTTTGAAGCACCTTATCTCGGCGCTCAACATTTTCCTGAGATCTTCAGCCATGAACTGTAGGATGAGGATCTGTTCCCTGGGAGAGGAGCTCGTACCTTCCATGCTGTACATGTGGGCAGATATGAGGCCCAGTGCTGCCCTTAAAGACGAGATCGTTGACTTCTTCAACCTGCAGATTTGTGTTCACCACCCGAAAGGAGCCAAAACTCAAGATACAGGTTGGCTAAGCTGTTCTTAGCAATCATAATTGATAAAAAGCTGACTGTGAAGGTTTTAGATTTATAAGGATTTAATTGTTTTGCATTTGTTCATAATCTTGATTGTATAAACAACCTTTATCCTATGTTACATTATAAGGTGCATACGCTGAAGACTGGACAAAGTGGCGAAGTCAGCTGTTCAACCTGTACGATGCCTTGGTCAGGGAGATCAGTCAGATAGGCAGCAGGGGGAAGTATCTCACTGGGACCAGACACATAGCTGTGAAAGACAATCTCATTGAGCTCACCGCTGACATCTGTCATCAGGTAACCAAAGTCTAAAAAGTCAATAAAAAATCAAATTAACTCAATAAAAAAAACCTTTCTTTTTTTGTGCAGCTATTCGATGACAGCAGTGACTCCCACATCCTGGAGGTCACACAGGTCACTGTCAAAGCCACACAGAAGGACAGTCCCATGCACGGAGCAGCGAGCAAGCGCCGTCGCATCGAACTGGGCTGGGGGGTTCTACGAGACCGACTGCAGCCTCAACACAGTGATTTTGATGTCATACCGTGGTACGAAGATCTCAACACTTCTGTCCGGTGTTACCACAGCCAGTCATCTACCTCCACATACTCCATCACCTTGTTCTCCTCCTTCTACACCTATTAAAACTACTGTTGTTCTTTTTCCCTCCTGTCAGGCAGCGTCTAACTGTATTTCTGTTCTCCTCTGTAGAGCAGTCGTACACCTCCTCATGTTCTCTTCCAGTAGTTCCTGACACTTCATCATCAATATTTTGACACAGCAAAGATGACAATTTTTTTTTAAGTGATGCCAGTACACTGCTCCTTATTTTCCCTCCTCACAGGTTGCAGATCACTGCAGTGCTCCTTGGCAAGTACCCGTCCATGGTGCCCAGTGCTGAGCTGGTCCCACTGCTCTCTGTGTTGTACCAGCTCCTTGCAGAGCAGCGAAGAGGAGAGAGAGGCCCGTATGTGCTGCGCTGTCTTAAGGAGTTAGCACGGTGCCAGACCCGGTTCCTGCAGAGAGCCCAGATTCACTCGGCTGAGTTGGGAAGGCTGTGGGGTCGGGTGTGGGCCCTCGCACTGAGAGGGGTCAGCTCACCTCAGATGGAAACGTTCAGTCTGGACCTGCTGGCCTCCATCGTCAGTGGTGGACTAATTAATATAGACAGAGAATTCTGGAAGCTTTTCTCAGCATCTGTTTGCAAATTGTCACAGTGAGTTGTTTGGAATTATTGTTAAATTATAATAGTATTGGTATCTCTGTCAGCGTTTAGGTGTTAGGATGAACATTTCTTCTGTCTACAGGAGCACTGTTGTGTGTCTGGGCCAGGCCCTACTAAAGTGTCAGGTTCCAAAAGGTCCAGTCCTAAGATCTGGCTTGGACTTAGTGGGGACGGCAGATGGATCTGGATCATCCAATCTGAAAGAGACTCTTATAGCCTGGCTGCTGATGAGTGACCAGAGTGATGAGATGGAAGAGAGCTCCAAACCTCATCCTGTCATTTCCAGGTTGTCAGCATGTTGATTCTTTCTGTTGTTAATTTGTTAATCCTGATGAGATCTAATCTCTTTGTTGTCGTCTCGTGCCACAGAGACTTTGACTTCACATTAATATCACATATCTTGGTCTCCGTAACCCTGAAAGACACCAAAGCCGGCCTTAAGTTTTTGCAGAGTGATAAAGGAGAGGAGAGGTGAGCTGTGTGTCTTTGTTGCATTGTCAGCAACTTTTTTTACTTGATACTCTGTGAAATTTAAAAAAATATATTCTTGATTTGAAGCGCCCTTTTTCATGAAAAGTCCACACTGGATGCCAAAGACAACCTGGAAGACATCCAAAGGCTGTATTTACAGTGTAGTTTCAACAAGCTTCCACCAGAGGTGCCGGTGAACAAACAGGCACCAGAGCCGCCATCAGCAGGCGGGCAGTTCACCGTGGTCTCCAGTCTGAAGAAGAAGTTGGAGCAGTCGCTGCTGTGTGTGGCTGACACTTTGCTCAACTGCTACTCCCCTGATGTAGGAAGACTCTGTTCAGTCACTGTTAATGGGTCTCAGCATCACAACAACAAATGATCACAATTATGTCTGCTCTTTGCCCCACAGTCTCTGTCGCCCTCTCCTGACTGTCTGGTGCGCTGCATGAGTCTGCTGACGGGTGTTCTGGCAGGTTACGTATCTGTGGGGGTTCTGAAGGAGGAGGAGGCGTGTCACTCACAGCTCCTGACTAAAGCAAAGGTACAGAAACGCAGAAAATATATCGTTGTGACTATAGTATCGATATATATCGTATCGTTTCCCCTTTAACGTGATACGTATCGTATCATCACAAACACATCAGTCTGTGTGGAGACCAGTCTTAAACTATGAACAAGTTAAATGTCAAATATCAACAAAGCCTTGTTTTCCAGAAAGAAATGGAGCAGAGAGATGAATACAAACAGACATCCCAATTTATTTAAAGTAAAGTTAACCTTTATTTTTTTTAATTGGGTTGTTTGTGTTTTTATGTCCAGGCTGTTGCCCAGGATTTAACTGGGTTTCTTTCAAGTGTGAAAGTTAAGATGAGTGAGGACTCGACGATGGCTGCTCTCAGGTCTGTCATGAGACTCTGCACACAGTCAGCCAGCAGGGAGAGTAAGGTAAAAAAAAAATTATATCAGTGTTAAATGTGGATTAAAATCACTTTTAAGAGAATATTTTCTCTCTGCAGGGAGCTTCTTCCACCTCCTCTAGTCTGTTCACTACGACTCTACCAGCCGGTCTCCTCAGTGAACTGTCAGAGATCTGCAAACTGCTTGTAAGTGACAGTTACACATTATTTAAACACTTTACTGATCAAAACATCCATGTTACTGTCTGAGGCTTCACTCTGCTTTTTTTATTCTCAGCTGAGTGATGTTTCCAAGAAAACAGTTGTTTTGGATGAAGATGATCCAGTGGACGAGGACATGGATGTGAGACGGACTCACCCAGGGGATGATGTTGACCTCTTTGAGGATGAGGACGAGCCTCAGAGCAGCAGCAGTACCAACGGGAGCCGTGGAGGCAAAGGAGACAACGTAGATGCTTCCTGTGGACCTGGTAAGAAGAGACTTCTCACCGTCTGAGTTATGTGCTGCCTCTCTTTGAATAAACCTTTTATGACCACGTTTGAAAGACGAAGATTTCTAGAGCTTGATAAATACTTCAAGATGTGCCTTTTATGCCCATTGAAATAGAGGTTCAATAAAGTACTTTAGATTTTTGGATTACACACAGATGAGCTGTGATTCTGTTCTTCTGCAGGATCTGAAAGCCTCTTAGCAGAAAATCACCTGGCCCAGCAGGACATGGCTCTCCTGGCTGTCTTGAACTTCCTCTGTGAGTGTGGTTCTGGTCAAGATCCACGTGGTGCGCTGTTCAAAACCCAGGAGGTGCGGCGAAAGCTACTGCTACTCTTGGAACAGACCGACTTCAGCAAACCGTTGCACTTCAACATGGTAAGAAGCAGCTAAAATAAATGGAAATACAGGGATGTCAGTTACGGAGGATGTTGAAAATCTGGTTTTCTTGCAGTACCTTGTACTTCTTAAGAAACTTCCTGCAGAAGACTCTCTCTCTCCAGAGGAGTTTGATTTGCTGCTCCGTCCTTTGGGGTGGGTACGCTGTTTGAGACTGTCACACGCTTCACAAACTTTGAACCATCTGTAATTTGTACTGAAATGACCTGTGTTTGTAGAGACCTGTGTGGTCTGTACCATCAGGACCAGAAGGTCTCTGCTGCTGTTCTGCTGACTCTGCTGCCCTGCATCAGGATCCTGGGTAAAACCCGCTACACGCCTGAGGAAATGAGACACGTTCAGGGATCACTGCTGCAAATGTTGTCTGGATTCTGGTGAGTGCAGTGATTCAGTGTTTAATGGGAAGATATTAGCTGTGAAATCTGTTTAATTTCTAAAATCTAAAACTAACGTCAATCTGGTCATGTTCCAGATTCATCAAAGTAACTTAAGTCTGTACTTTTTACTCATTGATTTTTTTGATTTGATTGATTTTGATTTGATTGATTGATTTTTTTTTTTTTTTTTTTTCACTTTTATTCAGTTGCTTGAGCCAGAAAGGGAAATGCACAGCTGAGGTGCGGGCCGCTCTAGTTCACTGTCTGGTTGCTTTACTGGAGGTGAGCACAGATGGATATTCTGTTGTATTAGTATCATATCCATGAAGTACAGGTCGTTTGAACCCTGAAAACTTAAATCAGTTCATGGTCAAACATCACCTGTGTGAACCTCTCTGCTGACACAGGCCGACCCGTGCTGTGACTGGGCCATCCTGAACATCAGAGAATCTGACAGGGAAGATGATCATCCTGTTTGTGTCATCCTTCCATCGTACCTCTCAGACACGCATCATCAGGTTCGCATGCTGGTGGCCACGTCAGCAGAGAGGTGGGCGAAAGGAACACCCATGTGATTCAGCTGGAAAAGAGGAAAGAAAATTGACATGTATTGACTTTTTTCTGTATCTTATTTACATTTGCATCAAGGTTGTTCCTGGACCTGAGGCCACAGCATCTTGACAAGAGGAGAATGCTCTCTCTCAAACATCAACAGGCTGCATTTGAAAATGTTTACCTGAAGGCTCAGGAGGGAATGAGACTCCCAGTGAGTGGAAATGCTGCAGTTTAAAAATATTAAAAGTTAATTTTCTGTTTGTCTCTATTTTCTATCATCTCTTCGTGTGTGTGATTGTACACAGAGAAGAGTCTCTGCAGAGGAGAAGCCGGATGAGTCTTATAACTGCAAGGCCACGTTGTTGAAGAGTTTGTGCGTGGTGATTTGTTGTAGCCCGGTGTGTGAGAAACAGTCGCTGTTTGCCATGTTCCAGTCCTACAAGGAGAACAACATTGAGGAGCAGTTCATTAAAAGGGTAATTCTTTCAGGTAGTATCTCTGCTGTACTGTTTGTAGGTGGGACTCGTCTCCAGCCCATTAATGCATCACAGCCACACCTTTTCTGTGCCATTTTCTCACTGTGGCCAAAACAATATTTAGAAATGAATTTACCTTACACTAGCCCACAACCCCTACTTTGGGGACCGCTGCTT